TCTCCCTCAACACAGCCTGGTGTCAGCAGACTGGCACCACCACGTTCAGTTTGGTAGCAGAAAGACGTTTCCCTGGAAGAACCTGAGTCTTCCTCCCGGAGGAGACCCACCCCAGCAGAGGGAGCTGAGCCTTCCTCCCGGAGGAGACCCACACCAGGAAAGGGAGCTTTTGTTCCAAACCCCTTGCTCCTTGTCGGGAAATGGACAGACATCAGGTGGCACCTTGAGGTAGTCTCCAGCCTGGGATAATATTTACCTCCACTGCCAGCTTTGGGGATGTTCCTCTTTCAAAAAATTCATTTCATTGCTGCACAGAAGGATGAGCCATTTCCTATGGAAATTGGCACACTAAATACCAACCAAGCCAGCAAACGCAGCGATAAGAAAATGAGGCTTAATCTGCTTTGATTAATAAGGAGGCAGCAAAAGGCTGCTCGTGGGCTGGAGGCTGCAAGAGGAAAAATGAAAGACGAGTAGAAATGTGCCCAGAAAAGCCAAGGGGAAAATCAGAAGGTTAAGCAACATACAAAGACCTCTCTTGACTGATTCAGTTTTAGAGTTTGCATAAACAAGGCTGTTAGTTATTTGCATATAAATATTCTGGGGGCAGGGGACCCCACAGTGCTCAGCTGTGCATTCTAAGTTTCTTATCAAAATCTGTTCCCAAAGCAGCTGCTGAAATCAGCTGCAAACTTCAACTCTAAAAATGAAAGTCACATGGCCGAACGAGGGAGGAGGCAAAGGAAACAGGGGGTGGCCAGGGCACCGGATGGTGCTTCAATTAACCCACTAGGGCCTGCAGCCCCCGTGCATCACCTGGGAGCCTTTGCACATTGGGATGTGGCTGCACCCCAGAGCATTAAATCAGACTTGCTGTGGGTGGGGCTCAGGCTCGGTGTGTCTGAGAATTTCTCAGGTGATTGGAATAAAGAGCCTTGATTGAGTACCAGGGGGCCTGCAAACTTTTCCATAAATAGAGAGAGTGAATGTTTTAGGCTTTGTGGCAGGGAAGGTCTCTGTCCACCACTCAGCTCTGCTGTTGGGACCAGAAGGCAGTCACAAACCATAGGTCAATCGGTGATGTGACTGTGTGCAATGAACTTTATCGACACAAACAGTAGTTTGCAGCTCCTGCTCTGGACCCTAGTTAGCCAAAGCACAGCCAGCGGTATCGGCTTCCATGGGAGTTTGTTAAAAGTGTGGAATCTGTGACCCCACCCCAGAAGCCTCTCTCATCAGAGTATGTTATTTTAACAAGGTCCCCAAATGATCAGAGCACATTGAAGTCAGAGAAGCAGGCAGAAGGTGACCGTGCTGGCGGGGCGACCAGCACTGGGAGCCCAGATTGCTGGCCTGAGTCTTAGAGCACCAACACTCTTGTCCATAAAACTGCCCTTGGCGTGCGGGGTTATTCAGACATTCCAGGGGCATTCTGCCCATATCCGGACTCTGAAAGGTACAAAGTGCCACAGGAATGTGAGTTGTGGGTTTGTGGCGGCGACCCTTGGCCTCGGGCCAGCAAGGGAACCATCCCTTCAGCAGGTGCGTCCTCTCCACCATCAGCCATGATGTGGTGGGCAGGGCGGGTCACACATTTCAGAGGCCAAAACCCAGGATCCCCAGGCTCTGGCAGCCTCACCACTCACGACAGCACAACTGCAGAGCCTGGGGGCAATTGCTCTGAGTCTGAAGACCTCGGGCTTGGACTAGGCCGGTGAGGCTGAACGCCACCAGCCTGATTCATAACCCCAGTGTGTGGCTTTCTGCTTTGACATCGCCCTGCCCCGGGCAAAGAGGGGGCCTGATCACGGCCGCATCCCCAGTGCCGGGCACAACATCAGTGCTCACAGATC